ATAAACAATTTGCTCCCTCAAATGCCATTTCAGAGTGTCTATCACAAAGTACCGACTCAGTAAACATTAGCTGTCATCATCCTACACACCTCATGCAAAATACCAGAACATAGCAAAGCACGCACAGACATAGTCATCAGTGGTAAGAAGAAACCCGGGTTTAAACCCTGGCCCCATACCCCGTGCTATGTCAACATGCACAGGAAGCATCTTTTCAGAGCCTCAGTCTCCTCCATAACGCTGGAATCATACTGACTACTTCACAGGTGTCTTTTGTGAGAATTAAGTGAAATGATACATAATAGAAACTTAGCACAATGTCTGATTCATCAAATAACAATAACGTTGTTTTTTCCTTTACCTCCCTAATCACAATTTGGTTCACAACCAATAGTAACAAACCCATGCAAAGGGGCTAGACTGATGACAAAGGAACACTCCACCCATACTCTGGTTAATTCCACAGACCTGATATATGTATGCTTCTTTTTCCTGGTATGCATCCTGGACTGAATGAGACCATTTAGAGAATGAATAGTTTATTATTTCAATTAAATCGGTCCTGCTAATTCAATGCAGTCTTGTTTATAATAGCCAAGATATGGAAACAACCTAAGTGTCCATCTACGGATGAATGGGTAAAGAAGATGCCACACAAACATGTACACGCACACAACGGAATATTTGTCATCAAAAAAGAATGAAATCCTGCCATTTGTGAAAACACAGACAGACCGTGAAGGTATTATGATTCGTGAAATAAGTCAGAGAAAGATAAATACTGTATGATTTTACTCATATGTGTCAACTGAAACAAACTAATGAACAAACAAAATAAAATAAAAACAAATTCATAAATACAGAGAATAGATTAGTAGCTACCAAGAAGGGAACAGGGTTGAGGAGGTGAAATGGATGAAGGGGATCTGCTGTATGGTGATGGATGGTGACTAGACTTGTGGTGGTGCTCTCTCGGTAGTGTATGCAGATGTTGAACTATAATGCTGTACACCTGCAAATTATATAATTAAAAATAAACAAACACATAAAAGAAGATTTTGAGGAAAAAAATTGGTCCTGCTAAGCCATCACAACACGTAGAGACACAGTTTGAGTCACAGAGATCATAGGGAAAGAAAGGGAGTGTGACAAAGGAACAGAAAGCAGGCATTGCACTGCCAGAAAAAAAAAAAAAAAATATATATATATATATATGCACCACAGTTCCATTCTTGACTATTTGTATGACAGTGGGCAAGTTAGTCTTTTCACCCTCGGTTTTCTCAGCTGTTAAGAGAGTACACATATTATCTCATAAAGGTGTTAGGAAATGAACTGAATACATTTAGCACATCCCTGCCACATAGTAAGCACTCACTAGTAACAATATTCATCACAGTAGCAAGGGCAAATTAGACTAAATGATGTTAATTAGACGATTTAGCATGTAACTGTTAAATAAGAAAATAACAGGTAATTCTGCACTGTCAGCAACCTTGAGTAGAAGGATCTCTGCTAAAATGACTACTAGGATTTTATTTTTATTTTATTTATTTATTTATTTATTTATTTGGAGCAGAGAAAGATTTATTGCAAGGTGAAATGAGTACTAGGTTTTTAATTTGCATTTAAGATATGAAATTTATGGTGGCTTTATTAGTTGGTAGTGTTAATAGCTCCAAAGATGATATTATCCGAAAATACAGATGAGGAAGCTGAGTCTCAGAGAATTCCAAGAGACCAGCTGTCTGACTGGAAAGTAGGAGTGACAGGATTTGAAATGCAGTCTGCTGTAGTTTCAAGATATGGCATCTTTTAAATAATTTACACAATCGTATTCTGTATTACTGAGAGGCATATGGTACTGAAGAAAGTAGCACATGCTTAATTAATGTTCCTGGAAGGGAGACGGTAAGACCATGAAGTTTGCCTCTGTGTCACTGTCTGTTTGCCCTGATGGGCTTATACAGACATAGGTATAGATACAGATATGTTTATACACATAGAAATAGGTTTAGTTTTAAGAATTTTAATATACATGATATTTTCAGCTTGACAATGTGCTCTCAAAAGAAGCTGAGTCTTAGAGGAAGTTGACCAACCAATTAATGACTGCATGTTTTAACATGGCAGATGCCACAATAAATGCCTATTTCTTGCTGGATGGCAAGGTAAACATTCCCCTAAAAGATGCGTACATTCTTGTTAGCATATAAAATACAACAGCCCTAAAGACAAAATCATGCTTTGTTATTTGTTACTTGATAGTTCCCTGAATATCTGTGTCCTCTAGTTCTGTTTAAAAAGGTTAAATGGTTCTAAGTCTGTCTGCTAGACTTATAAGGAACTATGCACTGCTCTGGCTAGTCAGGAAATTTAATTTTCTAAACAAATTAACCAATTGTGCATCGATAGAGGAAAGCTGCTCTCCATAACCCAGTTGGGGGACAGGGGTTGGGGGAGGGACAACTGCAAAAATGCAGAACTGATACTGAAAAATGCAGTTGGTGATTCTTACATTCTAGATTCATTCCTATGGAGCCAGTCCACCTCCAGTCAGAACGGTGTGGGGCTCACTTTCTGAATAATGCATCAAAACCCTGTTGTAAATGATTTGAAACAGTAATCGCCCCTTCTTTGGGTGAAACCACATATGCCAAGGAACTAGCACTTGCCTGACATCTATCAGAGCTAGAGTATGCCTGTGTCATCAAGTGGTACTTTATCTGTCCATCCCTTCCTGGTAACACAGCCCCAGACCCCCTTTAGCTTGCCTGGAAACAAAATGCTTCCAAGTTGGGCAGTTGTTGCTGAGCAGCCTCAAGCTTCTTCTTCACCTGCCTTTTATGCCACCGACAATTATAAAAAATAACAATAGCAATAACAACAACGATCAACTACAGTGATAATCATCACTGATTCCCTGTGAGCTGGAATGATTATCAGTATATCTCCATTTTTACATCAGTCAATGGATAGATTATAAAATGGGCAAAAACAAGTGGGGAGCTATGAACCTGGATGTTTACCCACTTCTAACCAATCTGAGGTTAGTATTGGCATCAAAAGTTACTCAAACTTCATCTCCAGCTGATGAAGAACATGCTTTTGCACAGGAAGTCTGTTCCCACTGGTACTATAGATTCCATGTTTTGGGTGTACATGGGATTGCCCTGATATCTGAATCCCCATTTGCCCTGAGGGTCCTCAGCTTGGCATGCTCCTGGCCCCCTATGGGTTCTTTGCTGACAAGAGTAGAAATCTTGACAAGTCAAATGCTAAACTGACCCCATGGCTGGTCTCTCAGGCCAATCTTGTTTACTTTCTTCATATTCTCTCTTATGCTTGAAGATGTGAAGAAAGTGGCAATTGCTCTGTTCTGTGTTCTTTCAGAAGAAATGGAGTAACAATGGAAAACGGGGCAGATTCATTCATTCAACAAGTACCACTGTCTCTATTTATATTAGAATTTCAGTATAAAGCCATTTCACAACTTCACTATTTAGTCAAAAAATGGATGCCCATGTAAATTTATTTTTCTGGATACTTCCTACCCTTGGATTCAATACTTGTCCCTTTGATAGATATGATTTTCTTAGCCAAATAGAGGCCATTCTGTGTGTCCACAACTTGTTGAGTTCCTTTACAACAGAGAATGGGCCACTGACCATTCCTCAAATCCCCTTCTTAGAGGTTGAGCTCTTTTGAAGAAAGGAATTTTTTTTTTATATCCTTATGAGATACACTCTACTATCCTGAATTTAGAAATGACTTGTGTTAAAAACAACTTTTCCGGACCTGAAAATAATCCTTTTTTTGCCCAAACTCAAATTATTTGGGGCACTGATTATTCTGCTGGGTTTCACCTCCAGCCTCATAGTTTCAGCACCCTTGGGAGTATTGGGAGTTTAATACACAAAAAAGAAGTGAATAAGTAAAGCTTTCATAAAGCTCACTTGTCTAGAGTTTCCCTGAATAAAGTAATTAGAAAGATATCTGCCATAGGTCCCTGTAACTTAGAAATTGAATGACTTGGATATAAGCTGACATCTAACTCATAAATTAACTGGACAATTCTTTAAAACTGTATTCTTCTGTCTAGTTTTCTCTCTCTTTTTCAACAAACATTTCTAAAGCAATATTTGAAATCCACACTCAAACACATCATTAACTAACACTTCACCCTTGGAGACCAGTGGACAAGTTACAGATTTTCAGTGTTCTTTCAGAAGAAAGCTCTTTAGCCCGAGCATCTACTGTCATTTGGGTGACTGGCAAAGAGAAAAGATGTACACAGTTCTACAACAAGAAAAACCCAGAACTGAGCCTTATTTCTAAAACAAGGAAGAAAAACTTTAACAAGGGATTATATTTCTCATCCTGGAAAAAATTTTGAGCAGGGAAAGCATAAACAAAAGATATCTTTGAAATGGCAGAGAAAGGTTTTGTCTAAAAGGCACCGATCCAAACAGGCTGACCTATCAGAAATGCCCATAAAGTGGTAAAAAGATCATTTCAAAGCCAAACAGCGAACACAGAAATAAGACAGGGGGCCTCTTACTGTGTTGAGACAGTGATCTCATGCCTCTAAATTCTTATACATAATTCACTGTAACTGTCAAAGGAGAAAGAAAGAAAGAAAAAAAAACAGCAGTACTTTTCTAATGCTAGAAAAAAAACCCCACAAACAAGCAAAAACAATACCATATAAAAGATCCACCCAAATGCACTGCAAAATATACTCGATTTGGCTTTTTCATTGAGCCCTCTGAAAGCTTAGCATCTTTCTTCATCTTGATATTCCTGGCTCTGGGCATTGTATGCAGCTCTTCGCAGGTGTGTGCAACACACACACACAAGCGCAGTACATGTTGACCAAAATTCCTTGGTCATGTGAACATAGTCTCAAAGGCAGCCACACAGACTGCATACGTAATTACATTTTGTACTGATCTGCTTGTCATGCACTATAGCCAGTTTTCCTTTCAAAAGAGAAATACCTTATAGGACTGGAGGTGATGTCGGGGTCACGAGCGGTCACTTGCCCAATCACGGAGTTGAGAGCAGCATTTTCATGAACTTCGAGGAGGTAAGTCGGTGAAGAGAAGACTGGAGGCTCATCTGCATCTTCGACAACAATTTTGACTGTCGCCGTGTCTTTAAAGGGCCCCCTGCTGCTGAAACGCGGGTCAGTGTGGACATTGGCTGCCTCTACCTTCAGCGTATAGGATCTTTTGGTCTCAAAATCCAGAGGCTGTTAAGAAATGACAAAGATGAATGTTTCTCACTAATGACCACAGCAGCGAGAACAAATGAGTATAATGCTGATGGATGATCGTTATGTGCATTTAAGCCCATTTGTGAGCCTTAATGGGATCACTCTCCATTCCCCCAGATTCAACCTGTAAATTTTACAGGCATTTATTGATAGCTGTTTATTATACAAGCTCAGTGAATCTAATCCCCTACTGTTTTGTTTTGTTTTGCTCATTTCACTTGGAATTCACAAAATATTCACAGTCATGAATTGTGCCATCGAAATTTCACTTCAGACTCATAATAAAATTGTACTAGTGAAGGCATGATCTGCATACCAATCAGCCAGTTAATCGGGCCTCTGCTCGTCAGAGATAAGGCAGCATCGAACATAATCTCTATCTGGGAAGGATATTTTATCATTTCTGCAACAGTGTGTGAAACGCAAAGAACTAGAAATAATCATTGTTTAGTCCATGGAGACATTATAAAGCACAATTTAGCACTAATCCCAACAAAGAGTGTTTTCTTATTTCACTTCCAGAGCATCACTGCTTTACTGATCATGTGGCTAAAATGAGGCTTATTATTTTTTAGGGCATTCTTAGAAGGTCTCTATTATATGAGTTCTGTGCTGTGAAGCAGGTGGGCATATAAAGAAATATGTATACAGACGCATATCTACCTGTGTTTATATTTAGGATAGATGATAGATAGACAGATAGATAGATAGAGAGACAGACTGACAGACACGTAGGTAACTAGGTCTGGTGGTGACTTCCACCAACCAGTTAAAAGCAATTTGAAATTACCTCATTGCACCATTACTGAAAATATTTCTGACCTATTAATACCTCTTTCCTTAAAAGCCCCAGAGACTTAACTTAATGACCTATGTAAATAGAGGCAGGTAAAAGAACACAGTCCCCTTAAACAACCAGAAGGCCATCTGCATCAGAACCCTCACAGTCCAATTCTCTCAGCAAACATAATACTTCAGATGTCAAGGATGTATTTCTGTCAAGGTTCAAAGAGACAATTTAGATTTCCATGGCAATTCTTATAAGAAACTGAACTCTACATCTGCGGTGCAAATTTTAAAAAAATAAGCTGGAACACAAGCTAGCATTAGTGAACTCTTTCAGAACTCCTATACAAGCCTAAATATAGATTCTTATTTCAAAATTTTATGTTGATTCTTATATTTGAATTTCATTCTAATTGGACTTAGATTTTTTTGATATATTTTCTAATAAACAAGGCAGATACTCAATCCCCTGTCTATTCTGAAATTACTAAACACATGTACCCGTATGTACATGAATAGGCAATTCAACATCAACATTTTCACAATTTGCTAATCACCCCTACTGTTACAATTTTGTAATCTCAAATTCTTTACAAACGCTGTTAAGCATAAGAGATTATATTCTGCTTAATTCTTTGCCCAACTTAATGACAATCTACCAGAACACATCCTGGTGTCCTTGGGATTTTGTCAGACAAAAAAGAGGACCCATGAATTGCAGGAAAATGACTCCCTACAGATTGTTCTCTAGAGTAAAATACATGGGTTTTTTGGTGTCCAGATGTGTAGTATATGCTTCCAAGTTTATGAATAATGGTGAATAAAAATACAGCAAACAGCTAATTGCTTCAGTTTATAAAAGCACCTTATGGTAACAAAGAATAGCAGTTAATAATAACAACAAAAATGACATTGGGATTCATTAGCCAAGGAAAATGTGTCTCTGGGTTAGTCAATAATTGACTCAAGTATAGTTATACTGTACTGTATTTAACACACGAGTTTTTAAATACTTTGCAACTCTTAATACTGAGCTCCATCCAGGTTTAAAGTGAGTGTTACTCAGCAGAGTTAAAACAGATGCAGCCATTTTCTTTTCAAAATTGATTTTTAAAATTGATTTTGTATATAAAACTATATCCAGAAAATTCCAGGTTCTCACTTTCAATACCTCCCCAAAAGGGGATTTTAAGAGCATGACCATTGGAAGCACATCCCTGGGTAACATGACAGAGAGAGTCAGATAGTAAGCTTGGAGTCATGTCATTGTAATGCTGATCAAGACAGAGGGCAAAATTATTGGCTCCTGACAGTGTGACCTATTATCTATCTTCTAATTCATGAATCAGCAAATCCGTTTTAAAATTAATTTGTACTACTTCATGGCAAGCATATAAAGAACAATGTTGAACAAAATACTCATGATGAAGATAAAAAGGTATTTCTCTTTGCAAATGCCCATGTCTGTAAAATACTGAACTGTGTTCTACATTTTTTAATGAATGTAGTTGTCACAATAAGAAATAAATATGGAAAATGTACAGAATTTTTCACATTTACCACACGCACACAAATGATCATGAGCAAAAGTAGTCACAGATTGCAATATGGAGAGACATACCATGCTCCTGGATTGGAAGAATCAATATTGTGAAAATGACTATACTACCCAAAGCAATCTACAGGTTCAATGCAATCCCTAACAAATTACCAGACACTTTTCACAGAATTAGAGCAAAAAATTATACAATTTGTAGGGAAACACAAAAGACCCTGAATAGCCAAAGCAATCTTGAGGTAAGAAAAAGGAGCTGGAGGAATCAGACTCCCAACTTCAGGCTATACTACAAAGCTACAGTAATCAAGACAGTATGGTATTGGCACAAAAACAGAAATACAGATCAATGGAACAGGATAGAAAGACCAGAAGTAAACCCACATACATATGGTTACTTTATCTTTGATAAAGGAGGCAAGAATATACAATGGAGAAAAGACAGCCTCTTCAATAAGTGGTGCTGGGAAAACTGGACAGCTACTTGTAAAAGAACGAAATTAGAACACTCCCTAACACCATACACAAAAATAAACTCAAAATGGATTAAAGACCTAAATGGAAGGCCAGACACTATAAAACTTTTAGAGAAAACATAGGAAGAACACTCTTTGACATAAATCACAGCAAGATCCTTTTTGACCCACCTCCTAGAGTAATGGAAATTAAAAAAAAATAAACAAATGGAACCTAATGAAACTTCAAAGCTTTTGCACAGTAAAGGAAACCATAAAAAAGATGAAAAGACAACCGTCAGAATGGGAGAAAACATTTGTAAACGAATCAATGGACAAAGGATTAATCTCCCAGATATATAAACAGCTCATGCAGCTCAATATTAAAAAAACAAACAACCCAATCCAAAAATGGGCAGAAGCCCTAAACAGACATTTCTCCAAAGAAGACATACAGATGGCCAAGAGGCACATGAACAGATGCTCAACATCACTAATTATCAGAGAAATGCAGATCAAAACTACAATGAGGTATCATCTCACATGAGTCAGAATGGCCATCATCAGAAAATCTACAAACAACAAATAATGGAGAGGGTGCAGAGAAAAGGGAAGCCTCTTGCACTATTGGTGGGAATGTAAATTGATTCAGCCACTGTGGAGAACAGTATGGACGTTCCTTAAAAAACTAAAAATAGGGGCTTCTCTGATGGCGCAGTGGTTGAGAGTCCGCCTGCCGATGCAGGGGATACGGGTTTGTGCCCCGGTCCGGGAGGATCCCACATGCCGCGGAGCAGCTGGGCCCATGAGCCATGGCTGCTGAGCCTGCGCGTCCGGAGCCTGTGCTCTGCAACGGGAGAGGCCACAGCAGTGAAAGGCCCGTGTGCCACAAAAAAAAAAAAAAAAAAAAAAACTGAAAATAGAACTACTGTATGACCCAGGAATCCCACTACTGGGCATATACCATATTTTGGACATGTGTCCAAAAGACACATGTACCTCAATGTTCATTGCAGCACTATTTACAATAGCCAGGTTATGGAAACAACCTAAATGTCCATCAACATTTAGGTTGTTGTGGTACATATATGTAATGGAATATTATTCAGCCACAAAAAGAAATGAAATTGGATCATTCGGAGAGATGTGGATGGACCTTGAGTCTGTCATACAGAGTGAAGTAAGTCAGAAAGAGAGAAACAAATATCGTATATTAACTCATATATGTGAAATCTAGAAAAATGGTACAGATGAACCTATTTGCAGGGCAGGAATAGAGAGGCAGACGTAGAGAACAGACGTGTGGACATGGAGGGGAAGGGAAAGGGAGGATGAATTGGGAGATTAGGTTTGACATAAATACACTACCATGTGTAAAACAGATAGCTAGTGGGAACCTGCTGTATAGCACAGGGAGCTGAGCTTGGTGCTATGTGATGGCCTAGTTGGGTGGGATGGAGGCGGGGAGGGTGGTCCAAGAGGGAGGGGATATGTGTACGCATATGGCTGATTCACTTCACTTTGTGGCAGAAACTAACACAACATTGTAAAGCAATTATACTCCAATTTTTAAAAAGCCATATATTCTTTGTATTATTTATGGAGATGTTTCTTTCTCCAATGGTAGCGCCACACCCGGGAAAAAAGCAAAGATGAGCTTCATTGACCACAATGCTTGGTCATTTGATCACAGTTAGGAGCATCTAATAATAGCAGGGTGGGCCCTGTCCTTCTGGTGCCAGAACTAGCCAGAATAACTGAAGCTGACTACTTTGTCTGTCTTTGAGTTTCCCTAAAAGCAGAGCCTGCAGTGAACACACAGGAAACTTGAATGCATTTTGCAGAGATATTCTAGGAAGCAGGAGATTAGAAATGGGGAGAGTTCTATAGAAAAGGATGAAAAGCCATTGAACTTGCCACCTCTATGGGCTTATGAGGATTATTCCCACTGAAAATCCTCTAAGGAATCATAAACAATATGCCTCACAATAATTTCTTCAGTGAATAGGAACTGTCCACCAATCTTTGTCCCTCATTGCTTAAAGGTTGCTTTCAGAGTGTTGGCTTTCCTACATAGGTGGATGCTCTGGACAAGAACTGAGCCAGTTCCTGCAGCTCATGGAAAAACACTGAAACACAGAGAGGAAAGAAATGATGGGTGAGATGGGAGGCTAGCACCACCATGGTCACCGTTCATCGAGGTTTAGCTGAAATATAAAGTAGGACTAGAAGATAGGATGTGCAAAAAGCACTCACTTTTGCACAGCTTAAGAAGGCAAACCTCCTCCAGTTGTAAGATTACGTCAGGAACTCCACCCAACCCCTACCACCTTCAACATTCAAGTTTCAAAGAGGTATTCTGAAGACGAACAAAACCTTCCTGAGCTTACCTTTCTCAGTCTTATAATGCCATCCTGGGCCTGGGCATCGGAAGTGATTTCAAACAGTGCTGTTCCGTCTCCATCAATGATGTCATATGACGACTGTGCATTTTCACCAATATCCTGATCATTGGCCTTCACCCTCCCTATGGCAGTGCCAAGAACCACATCTTCTGGTACTGAGAAGTGATACAGACCTTAGGAAAGAGGAGAGACACTGAGCACTGCACATATTCCATTCTTCATTCATTCATCTAACAAATATGTATTGGGCACCTCTTTTGCTCTGGCTACTTCTGTATAGATACTACCAATACAGTGATGGGAAAGACAAAAACATCCTTTCCACTGTGGAATGCACAGTCTTTTAAATGAGCCAGAGACAAATGTTCCCAGAAGAAGCAGTGATCTCTCTTTGAAACTCTTCTGAGTTATGGGACTTATTCAACCATATGTTTACCAAGTACATATTTGGAGCAGAGTTATATCAGGATATTAGTGAGTCTATGTGAATGTTCTTTCCAATTTGCTGTATAATCACATTGGCTGCCCTTGGGGATATTCATTGTTGCCCAACAGAAAATATTAAGCTAATTTCAGCACAGATAGATGCAATGTGTAACACACTGAAAGTCACTTTTGAAGTTACCTTTATATTTACAGACTTATAGACCATTTTTGATAAAATCCAATTACCAAGCTTCTGCTGTGCCCTGCAGCAAGCTGTTCGGACACATGAAACACTCCTCTTGTTACTAAAATTCTCCTTGCTCTGAAGACCAAAAATCCTACCCTCAAAACTCTCTAGGCAAAATACAGTTACAGTGTATGTGGCTTCCCCTATGGGGGCAGGAAAACGTGTCTACTTAGTGATATTAGTTCCATTTTTATTCAGATCACTTTGGCTGTTGTATTGGTGTCACTCACTTTCACTGGTGTAGGGGAAGTTGCCGGTACCCCAACCCCGTAACCCCTGGCCATTACCACTTCAGTCACACCTGCCTCACAGCCAACTGCCAACTCTTGCATTTCTTTGCTGAGGGTTTCCTCTGGACTTCAGAACCCGTTTTGTCCATTGCCTGTCAGTCCAGAGCTATCAGAAAATTAACACCCCCAGAGAAGCAGCCCTCAAAGGCTCACGCAACTTAGTATATAAAATTCCAGGCTCCTTGCCCTCTCTGGCAGGATAATCTTACGCTGGTCCTTTTCTTTTGTTTATTTACCCTGCTCCAGAGTTTCCCCAGTGGAATGATGCTCCAGTCACCCCAGTCATCGCTGGCTTGATAACGCACACTGTCAGCTTTCTACCTCCTCTCGCTCACAATTCTCACTTCCCTGCTGGCGTTCCTTGGGATCATCTCCAATATAAACTACTTATTATCAAATCCTTGTCTCAGTGCCTGTTTGCGGGAAACCCAAACCCAGACAACCAGGAAGTTGCAGTCCCACTGCAACAAGAACAAGGGAAAATAAACATTCGATGAAACATAAACCCAAAAGGAAAAATTATATCTGGAGAACATTACCTAATTCTAGTTTGAACTCAATCACTGAGTCCCTTGGATAAACTAAAGCTCATTTTTCCCAGTATAACAAGATTACTTTACATGATGGGCGAGGTTTTCTTCTAGAACTAACACACTTTTATTTAATGAAGAAGTTAAAGTGTCTCTTGAAATCATAATATGTGACCCGGGAACAAAAATGTTTTCCAAACAGTTTTGCCGTAAGAAAGGCACCAAAAATCATCGGTCTAGCACAAGTCTCCCAATACCCTCATAATTGGTGTAATGATTCCATTTCCTTCCAACTTTATATTTCAGATAAAGTTTTCAGATGACTCCTTGAGGTGTGCTTATTAAATAATAAGACAGCAAGGGGCTCACCTTGCTACTAACCCTGCATCAGGAAGCCTTGGGAAACCAAGCCAATGAAACGTTTCTTTATCCACTTTTACTCTTCCTACTCTCATCATCCCTTTCAGTGGGATCGTAGTTAATCGATATTACCTCTAAGAAAGGGAACACTTGAAACTTATCTGCCACCACTCAATTGAAACAATCATTTTGTGAGAAAGAGGAGTTGCATGTTAGCGCATTAACTATAATGGCAACTGAAAAGAAAACAAGAGTCAGGGGAAGGATGCAAGAGATGACGTTTTTTATTTCAGTCATTTGGTTTCAAAGGTTGGCATTGTTGTCTGATTTATGAATGGCCAGATGTGAAAATTCTAAAATTCTTTAAAAAAAAGAAATTTTTTTAACATCATTATTGGAGTATAATTGCTTTACAATCGTGTGTTAGTTTCTGCTTTATAATAAAGTGAATCAGCTATACATATACATATATCCCCATATCTCTTCCCTCTTGCGTCTCCCTCCCTCCATCCCCTCAAGGTGGTCACAAAGCACCAAGCTGATCTCCCTGTGCTATGCGGCTGCTTTCCACGAGCTATCTATTTTACATTTGGTAGCATATATATGTCCATGCCACTCTCTCGCTTTGTCCCAGCTTACCCTGCCCCCTCCCCGTGTCCTCAAGTCCATTCTCTAGTATGTCTGTGTCTTTATTCCTGTCTTACCCTAGGTTCTTCATGACATTTTTTTCTTCTTAAATTCCATATATATGTGTTAGCATACGGTATTTGTCTCTTTCTTTCTGACTTATTCACTCTGTATGACAGACTCTAGGTCTAACCACCTCATTACAAATAGCTCAATTTCGTTTCTTTTTATGGCTGAGTAATATTCCATTGTATATATGTGCCACATCTTCTTTATCCATTCATTCGATGATGGACACTTAGGTTGCTTCCATGTCCTGGCTATTGTAAATAGAGCTGCAATGAACATTGTGGTACATGACTCTTTTTGAATTATGGTTTTCTCAGGGTATATGTCCAGTAGTGGGATTGCTGGGTCATATGGTAGTTCTATTTGTAGTTTTTTAAGGAACCTCCATACTGTTCTCCATAGTGGCTGTATCAATTTACATTCCCACCAACAGTGCAAGAGGGTTCCCTTTTCTCCACACCTTCTCCAGCATTTATTGTTTCTAGATTTTTTGATGATGGCCTTTCTGACTGGTGTGAGATGATATCTCATTGTAGTTTTGACTTGCATTTCTCTAATGATTACTGATGTTGAGCATTCTTTCATGTGTTTGTTGGCAGTCTGTATAACTTCTTTGGAGAAATGTCTATTTAGGTCTTCTGCCCATTTCTGGATAGTTGATTTTTGCAACTATGTTCATCAGTGATATTGCTCTGTAGTTTTCTTTCCTTGTGACATCTTTGACTGGTTTTGGTATCAGGGTGATGGTGGTCTCGTACAATGAGTTTGGGAGTGTTCCTCCCTCTCCTACATTTTGGAAGAGTTTGAGAAGGATAGGTGTTAGCTCTTCTCTAAATGTTTGATAGAATTCGTCTGTGAAGCCATCTGGTCCTGGGCTTTTGTTTGTTGGAAGTTTTTAATCACAGTTTCAATTTCAGTGCTTGTGATTGGTCTGTTTATATTTTCTATTTCTTTCTGGTTCAGTCTCGGAAGGCTGCGCTTTTCTAAGAATTTGTCCATTTCTTCCAGGTTGTCTAATTTATTGGCATATGGTTGCTTGTATTAATCTCTCATGATATTTTGTATTTCTGCAGTGTAAGTTGTTACTTCTCCTTTTTCACTTCTACTTCTACTGATTTGAGTCTTCTCCCTTTTTTTCTTGATGAGTCTGGCTAATGGTTTACCACTTTTGTTCATCTTCTCAAAGAACCAGCTTTTAGTTTTAGTGATCTTTGCTATGGTTTCCTTCATTTCTTTTTCATTTATTTCCGATCTGATCTTTATGATTTCTTTCCTTCTGCTAACTTTGTGGGGTTTTTTTTTTTTGTTCTTCTTTCTCTAATTGCTTAGGTATAAGATTAGGTTGTTTATTTGAGATGTTTCTTGTTTCTTAAGGTAGGATTGTGTTGCTATAAACGTCCCTCTTAGAACTGCTATTGCTGCATCCCATAGGTTTTGGGTCATCATGTTTTCATTGTAATTTGTTTCTAGGTATTTTTTGATTTCCTCTTTGAGTTCATCAGTGATCTCCTGGTTATTTAGTAGTGTATTGTTTAGCCTCCATGTGTTGGTATTTTTACAGTTTTTTTTTTTCCTGTAATTGATATCTAGTCTCATAGCGTTATGGTCGGAAAAGATACTTGATGTGATTTCAATTTTCTTAATTTTACCAAGGCTTGATTTGTGACCCAAGATATGATCTATCCTGGAGAATGTTCCATGAGCACTAGAGAAGAAAGTGTATTCTGTTATTTTTGGATGGAATGTCCTATAAATACCAATTAAGTCCATCTTGTTTAATGTATCATTTAACGCTTGTGTTTCCTTATTTATTTTCATTTTGGATAATCTGTCCATTGGTGAAAGTGGGGTGTTAAAGTCCCCTACTATGAATGTGTTACTGTTGATTTCCCCTTTTACAGCTGTCAGCATTTGCCTTATGTATTGAGGTGATCCTATGTTGGGTGCATAAATATTTACAATTGCTATATCTTCTTCTTGGATTGATCCCTTGATCATTATGTAGTGTCCTTGTCTCTTGTAACAGTCTTTGTTTTAAAGTCTATTTTGTCTGATATGAGAATTGCTACTCCAGCTTTCTTTTGGTTTCTATTTGCATGGAATATCTTTTTCCATCCCCTCACTTTCAGTCTGTATGTGTCCCTAAGTCTCAAGTGGGTCTCTTGTAGACAGCATATATACGGGTCTTGTTTTTGTATCCATTCAGCCAGTCTATGTCTTTTGGTTGGAGCATTTAATCCATTTACATTTAAGGTAACTATCGATATGTATGTCGTATTACCATTTTCTTATTTATTTTGGGTTTGTTTTTGTTGGTCTTTTCCTTCTCTTGTGTTTCCTGCCTAGAGAAGTTCCTTTAGCATTTGTTGTAAAGCTGGTTTAGTGGTGCTGAATTCTCTTAGCTTTTGCTTGTCTGCAAAGATTTTAATTTCTCCATCAAATCTGAATGAGATCCTTGCTGGGTACAGTAATCTTGGTTGCAGGTTTTTCCCTTTAATCACTTTAAATATGTCCTGTCACTCCCTTCTGGCTTTCAGAGATTCTGCTGAACAATCAGCTGTTAACCTTATGGGGACTCCCTTGTATGTTATTTGTTGTTTTTCCCTTGCTGCTTTTAATATGTTTTCTTTGTATTTAATTTTTGATAGCTTGATTAATATGTGTCTTGGTGTGTTTCTCCTTGGATTTATCCTGTATGGGGCTCTCTGTGCTTCCTGGACTTGATTAATTATTTCCATTTCCATATTAGGGAAGTATTCAACTATAATCTCTTCAAATATTTTCTCAGTCCCTTTCTTTTTCTCTTCTTCTTCTGGGACTCCTATAATTCAAATGATGGTGCATTCAATGTTGTCCCAGAGGTCTCTGAGACTGTCCTCAGTTCTTTTCATTCTTTTTTCATTATTCTGCTCTGCAGTAGTTATTTCCACTATTTAATCTTCCAGGTCACTTACCCATTCTTCTGCCTCAGGTATTCGGTTACTGATTCCTTCTAGAGAATTTTTCATTTCATTTATGGTGTTGTTCATCATTGTTTGTTTGCTCCTTAGTTCTTCTATGTCCTTGTTAAACGTTTCTTGTATTTTCTCCATTGTAATTCCAAGAGTTTGGATCATCTTTACTATCATTATTCTGAAATCTTTTTCAGGTAGAAAGCCTATTTCCTCTTCATTTGTTTGGTCTGTTGGGTTTTTACCTTGCTCCTTCATGTGATGTGTGTTTCTCTTTCTTCTCATTTTGCTTAACTTACTGTGTTTGGGGGTCTCCTTTTTGCAGGCTGCAGATTCATAGTTCCTGTTGTTTTTGGTGTCTGCCAGCAGTAGCTAAGGTTGGTTCAGTGGGTTGTGTAGGCTTCCTGGTGTAGGGGACTAGTGCCTGTGTTCTGGTGGATGAGGCTGGATCTTGTCTTTCTGGTGGGCAGGCCCATGTCCAGTGGTGTGTTTTGGGGTGTCTGTGACCTTTTATGATTTTAGGCAGCCTCTCTGCTATTGGGTGGTGTTGTGTTACTTTCTTGCTAGTTGTTTGGCATAGGGTGTCCAGCACTGTAGCTTGCTGGTCATTGAGTAGAGCTGGGTCTTGGCGTTGAGATGGAGATCTCTGGGAGATTTTCGCCATCTATTACGTGGAGCTGGGAGGTCTCTGGAGGACCAATGTCCTGAACTCGGCTCTCCCACCCCAGAGGCACAGGCCTGATGCCCGGCCAGAGCACCAAGACCCTGTCATCCACACGGCTCAGAATAAAATGGAGAAAAAAGAAAGAAAGAAAGAAAAAAAAATAAATAAAGTCGTTAAACTGAAAAATAAAAAATGATTATTAAAAATAAAAATTATTTAAAAATTAACAAAAAGAAAGAAAGAAGAGAGCAACCAAACCAAAAAACAAATCCACCAATGATAACAAGTGCTAAAAACTATACTAAAAATAAAAACATAAAAAAAAAACAAATAGAACCCTAAGACAAATGGTAAAAACAAAGCTATACAGACAAAATCACACACAGAAGCATCCACATACAGACTCACAAAAAGAGGAAAAGGAAAGAAAATATATATATATCGTTGCTCCCAAAGTCCACTGCCTCCATTTGGGATGATTCGTTGTCCATTCAGCTATTACACTCATGCAAGGTACATGAAATTGATCGTGGAGATTTAATCTGCTGCTCCTGAGGCTGCTGGGAGAGATTTCCCTTTCTCTTCTTTGTTCGCACAGCTCCTGGGGTTTAGCTTTGGATTTGGCCCCGCCTCTGTGTGTAGGTAACCTGAGGGCATCTGTTCTTCGCTCAGACAGGATGAGGTTAAAGGAGCAGCTGATTAGGGGGCTCTGGCTCACTCCGGCCGGGGGGAGGAAGGGGTATGGAATGCGGGGCAAGCCTGTGGCGGCAGAGCCCAGCATGATGTTGTAACAGCCTGAGGCGCCATGTGTTCTCCCAGGGATGTTGTCCCTCAGTCATGGGACACTGGCAGTGGCGGGCAGCACAGGCTCCCAGGAGGGGAGGTGTGGATAGTGCCCTGTGCTTGCACACAGGCTTCTTGTTGGCTGCAGCTGCAGCCTTAGCGTTTCATGCCCGGCTCTGGGGTCCGCGCTGATAGCCATGGCTCACGCCCATCTCTGAAGCTCGTTTAGGCGGTGCTCTGAATCCCCTCTCCTCACAAACCCCGAAACAATGGTCTCTTGCCTCTTAGGCAGCTCCAGACTTTCTCCTGGACTCCTTCCCGGCTAGCTGTGGTGCACTAGCCCCTTCAGGTTGTGTTCACGCAGCCAACCCCAGTCCTCTCCCTGGGATCCGACTGAAGCCCCAGCCTCAGCTCCCAGCCCCCCGCCCGTCCCGGCGGGTGACCAGACAAGCCTCTCGGGCTGGTTAGTGCTGGCTGGCACCGATCCTCTGTGCAGGAATCTCTCCACTTTGCCCTCCGCACCCCTGTTGCTGCGCTCTCCTCCGTGGCTCCGAAGCTTCCCCCCTGCACACCCCCCGTCTCTGCCAGTGAAGGGGCTTGTAGTGTGTGGAAACCTTTCCTCCTTCACAGCTCCCTCCCAGAAGTGCAGGTCCCTTCCCTATTCTTTTGTCCTTTTTTTTTTTTTTGTGCCCTACCCAGGTACGTGGAGAGTTTCTTGCCTTTCGGGTGGTCTGAGGTCTTATGCTAGTGTTCATTCGGTGTTCTGTAGGAGTTGTTCCACATGTAGATGTATTTCTGATGTATATGGTATCTCCACGGCTCACTCCTCCGCCATTTTGAAGCTCTACCTCATGCTATCCACACGGAAAATGTTCCAGTGGATTAAATTCTGAGCCCCCACTTCCAGCTGGAGCCGGTTGTGGTGCTTTTCCCACAGCTGAGTCGGTGAAGCACTGACTTCAAGAGGCACTGCTCTCACTCCCACTTTTCCTAAAACTCTTAATGAAATGCATCTTTTCTGTTCTTTCTACCTTGGCATTTTTGCAGAGAAATTCTCCAAGGTACCTCAAATGTGTCACTTTCAAACCGCACCTCTGTCTTTCCCTTCCTCTCTCACTCTCCTTCTCCCTCCCCTCTCTTCTCTCTCTCTGCAAAAACTGGTTTTCCTAAGGTATTTCTTATCCCAGCAAAGAGCACTAGCATGCATGTAATCTCTCATGTCAGAAATAGGATAACTCACCTCCTCAACTGAAAATGCAATCTATCCTTAGATTTTTGTTACCATTAGCTCTTAAATATCTAACACCCTTATACACTTTCTCCACTCCCACTGCGACCAACCTTGCTTGCCAGGGCTTCCATCACCTTTTACATGAATGATTACAAGCACCCCTTACCTGGCTGCAGTGTGGAAAGACACTGGAAGAAGGCCAGATTCCATTTTCTCTGATTTCCCTAGAATCAAATCTTATTACTTAACCTACAAGTTAAAATATTTTAATGACTTCCTAGTGATCTTAGGATAAAAGTCTTGGTACTTAAAATGACCTGCAAATCCAAGGATGGCTAATTCCTGCCTAACTCTCCAGCCTCGTGCTCCAGCTGTAGTGAAATTTTTTCAGTTCTCATCCAGGGCCGTACACCCTTCTTCCTTGGGGCTTTTGGACATCCTTTTCTTCTAGTTGCAATGTCCATCCTCCCTTCCCCAGTTTCACCTTGTTCCAGCTAATTCCTATTCATCATTTATTTCTCTCATTTCAAGACTCTTCATGTCAGAAAGTTGTTCCCAAATCATCTCTCTAATGTCACATTACTTGGATAAATGCACAGAAGGAAAGGGTTCTATGAGAGTACAAGAAAGTTGGCAAATAATGATTGTCTCCTTGATTCATTGATGGTGGCTGCCTACAATGCTGTTGAGAGGTTTCTGGGGCCAAGCACAGCTTTAGTAGGAACGGGTAGAGTCAGTGATCACTGATGTCCCACCAGCCACAGGAAGGAGGAGTGTATATTTTGCAGCAAGTGTACTGTACATCTGCCTTCCCCACCTCAGGCTCTAGAGATTTAGTTTCTTTTATACAAGTGGGACTATTGATAGAACAATATCTGAGGTGCATTTCAATCATTCTCTTGAGTTTTCTTAATGGGAGGTACCATGCAATAGAGAAATAGGCACAAATCTTGCAGCCAGACTTGCTGGTTCTAATTCTCAGCTCCATTGTTTACTTTATGCTTAATATTCAGAAATGTTCTTAAATTCTTTGAAATCTGTAAAGTGAGGATACATTTAGTACCAAAGTGATAGGAGAGTTTTTCATATATATGAATTACCATACCTTGCACATAATAAGCAGTCAGTGATTGCTATCAATTTTTCAAATCACTGAAAATTAGAATACAGATTCAAAGGGAAACATCATACTTAGATGCTCACCAGCATGGGGAATTCACTTACTCTGGGCAAATTTTGGAGGATTGTCATTCACGTCAGTGAGGGTCACTGTAAGTGTTGTGGTTCCAGATAGGCCACCCGAGTGTCCACCCATATCTTTGGCTTGGATAACAACCAGGTACTCCTCCTTGGCTTCTCTGTCCATATTGGGAAGGGCAGTTTTTATAATTGCTGAGGGGAAAAAAAAATGGGAGAATGACTTTTAGCCGGACAGCTCATTCAAAAATCAATGTGTGAATCACACACACACACACACACACACACACACACACACACGTGCATACATCAGGACCCCACTCAGATAATTTTCTCTTTTCTCTTGACATTTAGCTGGTGTGCATCTCTGATGCCAACACTGAGAAAGACTGTAGTCATAGACAGTAGTGGATAACTTGCAAAAATACATTTTATAATTTATAAAAAAAAGAACTTGCGAATATATACATTAGAAAGTAAGCTGAATGGCATACTCTTGCCTACCAAATTAAAGTATAAATCATAACATAGCTTCATCTACTCTGGAAAATCCTGGAAGTGAAAGAATCCTACAATTTATCACAGACTCCAATTCCCCTACAAGAGAAGTAAACACACAAATAGCTAGAAGGCTCTGAGGTCAGAGATAAATCATTCTGAGGCTCACAAATACATCAGAGAGATGAAAGAAATAAATGCATCCTTAGAATCAACTCAGACAAATAAAATGCCAATCAGAGTTAATATAGGCAAGTGTCTAAATCTTAAGGCATTGTTCAACTACATTTATATTTTAATTGTTTAGTTACATCATGACTATAGTAAAAGTAATAAATATTTTAGAGAAATGGGAAGATATAGAAAAGAGAAAAGGGAGTAAACATAAAATCATATAAAATAACATAATATCAGTGCTAAAATGTTAGCATTTTTTCTGACATATTTTCAGGGTTTCATCTTCTGCTTCTCTGTGTGTCACTAGTAATTTAATATTCTTATTAAAGTTTCAAAGTCTTCTTAGATATTCCTGATGATATTTTGAAAAATCTTTATTTAGCCCTCTCCCTACCCTCTTACCTCTTTTCATAGATACTGCTAATATTTTCATGTGTATATTTTCACATGTATATGCATACAAATGTGCAAATGTGCACATGAACATTTAACCACAAATGTGGTCACAGTATAGTCATTGTTCTGAGACTTTCTTTTTTCACACAGTGGATATCTTTGAGATCTTGTCAATGGTTACAGGCCCAACTCATTACTTCTTATAGCTGTATAATTTTTCATTGAATGTACTATGAGTAACTTGGGCATTCCCATATTAACCGATATTGCTATTCTTCCCATTTCAAATAACCATCCAGATATCTTATTATGATGATACTACATTTTTCTGTGCCCTGCAGTTTTACTTAACTCTATGCCATAAGATGTCCATCCCATATTACTAAAAGCCCATAACAGAAGTGTTTGTCACTAGTCCAGAATATCCCTATTGAATGAATGTGTTACCTCTCTGGACCAAGTGAAGGAAAAGTCTCTGCATTAAAGACAATTTGCCCCTCACTTCTAACCTCAGGGACATCATAAATGTTCAATTCAAATTGAAGATGAGTGAATCACTTGGTCATGTCTGAAGTTGTAATTCTGTGTTTTTGGACTCGTATGCTCTAATTATATCATCTGTCTGTAAAAGGTTTGCAAGGATTTCAAGTCCCTGAATCATTCAAGTATCAGCCGAGGCACAAGAGTGCCCAGGGAAATCTAATCCACCCAGTCAGTGAGCAGGCTCTGGGAAAAGCTGTGAGTTCTTATGCACTTTCTTCAACCTTGAAGCCACCTTTATATCAGAGCTTCCCATTCAGGGAGCACTCAACTGGATAACCCTGCCTATTTGGAAGTATGGATAGTAACATACTGATATCTTTCAATACAGTGATTTCTTTCAGGATTTGACCATATTGTAATATAAGTCAATAGGTCATACGTATATGGTTATAAACAAAAAACTGAAAGAAGAGAAAAACAGAAATATAGCAATCATTCTGATTTGGATCACTGTGAGGCATTGCTGAGAGGAAAATAAACATCTAGGCAAAAGACAGTAAAAACAACAATAAGAAAACCTCATTATCAGCATGACAAGATGCCAACACAGTTACTCCACTATGGATGTATATTTTCATGACTCAGAATCTTCAGTATGGGCCCAATTCCAGTAAGAAGGATTAGAAAACAGTTTTACCCCCATGCTAGTAACATGAGTAACTTGTAGTTTGTAAAGTTTAGGTACCACCACAATTTAAGGTCATCATGAATTAAAGCCATCCATTGGACTTTGGAATTTGATGTAGAGCTTCTAATAATCAGAGAAAAGCAATATAATTCCTCAAGGGAGGCAGCAACTGTTTTCAAAGAAGTTGATGGATTAAGGTCTACACATTAATCCTCTTAGGTTACTTCAGTGGAAGAATTTTTACAGCTTCCTCAGAGTCAGAGAAGACTGGTATGTATTATTCTCATCATTTTTTTTTAATATATCATGAGAGAGTAAATTAAAAAAAAAACTGTGATGTCTCTCAGACACATGGAATTAAAATAGTTTTGAAGCTCGTTTGAAAATAGCATACTTGGGTCAGTGTCTATGAGTTGTATCAGAATATGAGTGAAGCATCATGACAGCAGGCCTTGCTTTAATGGGACAAGAAGAGCTCCCTGGGTTTCCACCTATTACAGAAATGTTGATGTCCTCCACCATCAAGGTATACAGCTTCCTACTACCTACAATGCCCATCTGTTGACAAGTTAGAGTCCCCTTATAAATGCTCCCACCTATTGAAGTCAAGCAAGTTTGGGTTCTCATATTATCCTCACACTTACAAGCTTTGTGATCATGAACACATTATTAAACCCACCAGGGCTCACCTCCCCTGTTACATGGAGATAATAATCAGCCTCTCATCAAGGGGATTCTAAGACTATGTGAGATAAATCATGCAAAGTTCTTGTCACACAGTAGTTACCCAACCGTACTGTCTCCCCTCCCCTTCTGGCTTCCCAAACAGAATTTAATGCTTATCTGGATACTGGTTCGAGTGCTGAACACTTGCCAGCTGCTCTTCCACATCCACTCTCCGGCATTCTGCACCTACTTTTGGTGTGGGAGAGTGGCCTCTATGGATGGACTTACTTGCTGGCTTTGTGTTAGACTCCACCAATGCACACTACCCCAGGAGATAGGGAGGCTGGAGCAGGGTGAGGTTCCAGACCACCCAATACCTCAATCACATGCTTGGCCATCTACGGGTTCTATCTTGGGATAACACTAGAGCAAAACTCTAGTGTCTGTTAGCGCCTCCTTCCCTGGCTCCTTCAGGTCTAGGAATGATATTAGCACTTCTGCTGCTGGCCTTGTGGGGCTTCCCTATTCCTTAATGGGCTCTCTTAACCTGGCCATACTTTTCTCAGTACTTCCCTCATTAAACTCTCCTGAATCACCCCACTCCTGCCAGGACCCTAAAAGATATGGTTCGGATACTGGTTCTTTAGCCACGTGTCAAACATGTTTCCACCATGTCATTCTTACATCTACAGGTCAAAAGTTCATCAATGTCATCGCGTATAGCTGTCTAAAGGACTGCTCCTTGAGACGGCCAGACAGGTATTTGGTTCCTTATCTGTAACATGAGAATAATACGTATACAGTGAAGTGAGTTGCTCACGATGACCCATCTGGGAAGCTGCACACCTGGGAGGTTTCACACCTTCTTCTTTTATTGTACAACATTGAGAGTAGGTTTCCTGATATTTTAAGGTTAAGTGGGGAGTGTCTCCCATGTCCTTAGGGTGTGCCACACACGAAACTGGCTTCAGTACAAACTGTAATGAACAGCTTTTGCTTTGCCTGAGCCCATTGCCTTACAACTAGTAGCAACTCATTAAAAAATCCAAGACATAGTTTCTGGAACATTTTTCCTGCTACCTTGTGCCCATAAAAGCAGGATAAGAAAAACCACAAGTGCCTTTGGTCCTTCTATTTTTCTCCTTGTGTTGGGGCATATCGATACATGTTACTTAACTTTTTAAATTCCTATACAAAAGGCAGATCATTTCACGTGCATAGATACGGCAAGATGTTAATAAACTCCTAAAACAGAAGCTTAAAAACTGCCTTAAACGTTCTTTCTACTTCTTCTACCCTGAATTATTTGCTTTGGCCCACATATTCTCCCAAGTATTAGTAGCTTTAAGCTATTTCTTTTGTGGACAAGAGAAGGACTTCTATGTTTTAATAATTGTTTGGTATTAAATATCACCAAATACAGAAGAGAAAATATAGTAATAAGTGATTTTCCCTCTCTGATTTGAGAAGTCACAGCTTTTGAACCATGAAGACTAAAATGTGACTATAATCCTCAATTAAATGGCAATTTTATCCATTTTCACCTGTGATTTTAAGAAGACAGAGAAAAGATCCTTATACCCTTTTTTGCCAAAGTAAACTAATTTAAAACAACTTTTGATGGTGCTCATTTTAAATAGCTTCCCATCTCCTGAGAAATAGACTGTGTTCCTCTTTTTCAAAGTAGTGATCAAGCAAAAGTAGTGTCCACGTCTCCCCATGTGCTTATAGTCACACATCCTCAATGCCCAGCAATGTGTTCACAAGCTTAAATATTATGTTTAAACTTCCATTACACCAAATTGGCAACAAATCAGAGTTATCAGCTTTTTGGAGAGTAGTATACAACATGCTTTCTTCAGGGGCAGTTAGTATGGTAAATAACCTCACAAAAAAGAAAACAGCATATGACTTGGAGTTGATACAATGAAAACTGTTAGAGATTTTGTCTTTGGCTTTTGTAAATTTTCAACTCAGGAAGGGGTCTAGGGCTGACTTAGTTAGACACCTTAAATAGTTGCCTTTGGAAAAATCACAGAACTTCCCTGGGACACATTTTTTTTCCTTGAAAATAGGAGGCTCTAACATTTCCAGTAGAAGAAAAATCCACAATTGATGTTCAGAAGGATGAGCCTGTCCTGCTGAATCCTTGATCACATTAACTGCAAAGTAGACTCAGAAAAGGGAAATGTAAACTATTAAATTCTAGAAGTGTTTCCCTGGAACTCCATTTTGAAAATCTAATTTAATCAGAAAATTCAATTAATGAGACTAGTCCATTCTCTGT